TGTCCTGGAGCCCGTGGATCCTGAAACCTGCCCCCCCTCCCCCCCAGCCTGCTGTCTCACGTTCCCTTTGGAACAGTGCTTCCATTCTGGTCTCTGAGCCCACAAGTTTCCATGGTTACTTTCACCCCGTGGTTGTGTGAAGTCTTGGGCCTTTCGGGTTATTCTGGGGAGGTCCTAAAGCTTCACCTTTCGAAAGACTTAATAACACGGAATCCTTCCGTTTAAGCAGAAAAGCTGGCAACTTTTCTGCCTTCATCCTGAGAACAGGGCAGACATTTCTGGCTCCATGTCGACTTGAGTTATCGCACGCTACTGATTGTTTAATTGTTCTGGCGGAAGGGCCACTGTTAGGAGAGCAGGGCTGCTGCGCCCCAGTTCTGGCTCTGACACGCTCTCTGTGGCCTCAGCCTTTGCCGGAATAACCCAAGGGATTCAACCGTCTGAATTTCAAGGGGCTGTCCGGCTCTTCCAGTCTGTGACCCTGTTCCCTTATCCATCTGATGGGGCGGCGTCCGGATGACCTTCTCGACGAGCCCCCCTCCCAAACCCTGAGCCCAGAGAGAGCCTGACATCAAATGCCGTCCGTCTGCCACGCTCTATTTCTGCTTTCCGTGTCAGGCAGACAGATGGGAGCAGATGTACAGGCCAATTTCAGTAACTGTTGTTTAACCGAGGCTTTTAATTCATCTGCATTTACGTGAATAAAATAGAAAGCTGTGCGCACGCACGCACACTCGTCCACGGAAAATCGAATGACTAATTTAGGCCTCTGCCCACTTCTCATCCATTTTCATGCAAATGTTCCGGCATAACTAGGTGTAATTATTAACACCATTTGTAGTCATTCGTCAGCATTGCTAACCCTCTGTTCATTTTGTGACTTGAATGTAATTATTTTACTGCCAGTGCTTAATTCTTTTTTCTTGTACAAAACGGTGTCCTGCCATCGAAGCGTTCCCTGAATTGAGCGGGTCTGAGTCAGAAGATTGTGCGTTGTTTCCATTTGTTCCTGGGTACGGTCCCAGTGGCCAAATGTCTGGCATCCCAGCTCGGGAAGCTCCTGTCCTAGAGAGGGTTCTTTGGGGGTCACTCTCACTGCAGTGTCCCGCTGTCCATCCCCACCTGGAACAGACAGGGTCTCGCCACTGGTCTGTTGGCATCGAGTCTGGAGTACGTCCGAGGCAGGCTCACTTGGACATCCAGCCTCCGATGCATTATTTGTTAGTTCCTCTAAGTCACTATATGTATTTTTAGATCGAAGATGATTCTTAGCTGAAAACAAAGTGCTGAGTTCTGGAAGCTGTAGCACTTGCATTTCACCAACTCTTTCAAGTGTTAATTGTGTTTGCTAAAGTCCATGCTCATTGTTGAAAGTTTGGAAAACACTGGAATGCGCAAAGGAGAGAATGGAAGTCAGTGGTCCCTCGGCCCCTCCACCAAAGCAGATGGTTAAACAGCAAGTGTTGGGTGTCTTGGGGATTTATTATTCTAGTACTGAGGTGGGCTTATCAAATCAGTGAGAGTCAGCTGTGGGTGTGTCAGCCGTGTTGTAAGCATGTGGTTGGGTCAGAAAGCGGGAGTGGAGAGGAGGTGTGACAGCACAGGAGAAGAGAACAAACAGGTTTCATCCTGTGCTGTGCTGTCCCTGTCCTGCTGTCCCTGTCCCTGTCCGTGCTCAGGGTCCCTGCTCTGTACCTTCCAGGTGTGCGGTGTGCGAGGCTCCAGCCATGGTGATGGCTGTGCACAGCCAGACCATCCAGATTCCGCAGTGTCCCAGCGGCTGGTCCTCCCTCTGGATTGGCTATTCCTTCGTGATGGTGAGCATTTGGGGAAACTCCCTGCACCCCTGAAGAGCCTCCCGCGAACACCACCACCGCCCCCATGCTCCCACCCTCAGTTGGCTGGCTCATGCCAGGCAGGCCTCTCCTCCCTTGCTGGGCCGCCCAGTCCAAAGCATCCCCAGGGGCCTGGCCTGCTCCACTGTGGATGGCAGCTGTTCCCGCACCCGGCCGGAGCCTACCTCCTGCCTCCCGAGGGGCTGCTCCAGAACTAGGTGGCAGGGACACCAGGAGAAGGTTTCCGGGAGTCAGAGTGTCTTCCCAGGAGGAGAGGAGACAGATGCCCATTCAGGCAGCTCATGCAAGCCTGAAGCAGTGGTGTGCATCGGGCAGAGGCAGCAGGGGCGCTGGGCAATGTCTGGGAGCGTGAGGACACTCTCCTGCCACTCAGCTGTCCCAGACACCAGGTGTCCGATGTGCCCACCCCTGAAATACCAGTTAACACAGGAAATATGGCACCTGCTTGTGATCCCATGGTGGTTGGTTACTTTATTTTATTGCCTCAGTTTAAAGAAGTGATTGCATATATGAAGGCTCTGAACCGGTCAGGTCAGGTTGTACCGGGTAAGCCACAGTAAGGGCCCTGCACGGAAACCTTCTGGCTCACCACTAAGCCCCGCCCCTCCTCAGTCTCAGGTATGGCCGCCTGGACGTTTTGACCCCCAGATGATCTCTAGCCTATTATGTATTGACTGGGAAAGTGGCTTCATAACTATTTTCTTCTGCTGCAGAGATCCCAAGTGCAGAAGGTGCCAGAAAAGCAATTTTAAAGCACTTGTGTCTGTATTCACGTTTGGTTGTGAGATTTCCTGGGTTGATGATGCTTCAGGTAGACTCTTCAACAGGACCAGAGAATTTGCAGCCACACAGAAAGTTAGTTGCTTTGATGATTCTAAATACTGCATGGTAACTACTTGATTGGGAAAGCCAAAAAGTTAGAACTACAGTGTAGAGAAGTCAAGACACCAGCAGTGATGAGACAGATTGAATGTTTTGCCTGTATAATCATAAGAAATACTCAGCAGAACCTCATGATGACACAAGTAGCCCCTGGCCCAAGGAGTAAAGAGCCTCAGGAAAGCCTTTTGTCCTACGAAGATGTGAAACAATGATTGCCCATAATTTCCCTAAATCAAGAGCAAACTAAAGTAATGGTGTCCCAGGGAACAAGTTTTCCATCACTTCCCAGGCTTAAGGGGTGTTGTGGGGAGGTAGAGGGCTCTGGCCCCACAGTCTGGAGACCCCTGTTCTTGTCTCAGCTTGGCCTCAAAACTGGGACCATTGTCAGATCCAGAATGTTCCAGCGTCATCCAGTCCTCATCTGGGAATGGAGGGCATTAGCTTTGTCTTCAAAGGGCCCTGAAATTCTCATGTCTGAAATAATAGTCATGGTGGATTTTGGAATGTCTTGTCTCATTTGGGGTCATTTATCTTATGGCCCTGGTTTCTGAGCACAGGTAGATCCTACTTGAACCCATTAGACTAAAGTGCATTTTAAGTTACAGTAGTGGTTACTTTTTTTTCTTCTTATTTAAATGATCACTCTTTTCAAAGGCAAGTAATGGGTGATTGTTTTCTACCTTATAAAAGGATACATAGCATCCAATGCAGCAGATTCAGGATTTTAATTATCTTCCAGGATGTTGATTAGAAAACTTGATTTCGCATGTATGGGTTCCAACATCATTTACACATTTTGGCTGTTTCTTCTGTCCCAAGTTAGAGGAGGTGGCAAGTATTTCAAAAATAATAACTAGGACAGCATTTCTCTAAGTGCTGATGAAGCCGGACTGGCCATGCCGAGTTAGGGGGCGGCGGCGGCCCCGCTGGGTCCTGTACTGCCCCGTGCCACTCGTGGAGCCCGGACCGGCTTGCAGGCCGTCGGAAGTGCGGGCACTGGGGTGTTCCGGGGATCTGACCCACGGCTCACGTTTGCTCCGCAGCACACCAGTGCTGGTGCCGAAGGTTCTGGCCAAGCCCTGGCATCCCCCGGGTCCTGTCTGGAAGAGTTCAGGAGCGCGCCATTCATCGAGTGCCACGGACGTGGGACTTGCAATTACTACGCGAACGCATACAGCTTTTGGCTTGCCACGATCGAGAGAAGCGAGATGTTCAAGTAAGTCTGGGCGGCCCTCTCTGCTGGGGCGGGGCCCTCTCTGGTGTTGGGGAGGGGCCTCTCTGCTGGGGTCGGGCCTCTGCTGGGGCAGGGCCTTCTCTGCTGTTGGGGTAG